GGGCGGAAAGGAGTACGTGTCCTCGTGCGCACTGACATTTCATCACACAGCAACATGTAAAGATAAAATTGACGAAAGTAAAATAATTTTCTGCATGGGACATTGTAGCAACCGAGCTATCAATGCCCGTAACGCGTCCACATAGACTATTATAATTTATGCACTGTCTATATCGTCCGATTTCCTTAAACACAGCCTATGACAGGTGGTTCATGCAGGTGATTACTCATTAGCACAGTATTTCCACCTCGACCGCCCGGTCAAATGTCCGGCAGGTCACAAATAAGGTACTGAGCGGAAGATGATCACCCCACTGAAGTTGCAGTAATGGTCGGTCCCTCCCTTTCCTCAGCTGATAGGTCCCGGATGTAAGCCTGCTGTCCATGTGATCGCGGGATGATCAGGCGTGACTCAAGGTTCCAGCTCACAAAAAACTCCCATTATTTCGCAATGACTGACGAAGGGTGTTCCCCGTTCTGGGCTTCCCAGATGTAACAATTCGCGTGACAGTCTGTTGTAACATGTCTGCATGACATCATATCGTGTACATTTCATGGCTTTATTCGTGACCAGAATAAAAGAATTGCGAAGGACTACCTACCAGAGTAAAGGGAGGAAGAGAAGAAGTCAAGAACTTAAAAAAGACAAGTGTAACGTTGATAATTATATAAGCCTCTCGCTTTGATGACCTTTACATCACCAATGTCGTGGTTTAAGAAATGTCATTGTCAGTCAATGCCTTTCTCAGCAATGCTGTAATAACACGTTAGACCTGTAAGGTTATAATTTGCTTCACTTGTGGCACTTCAACTCGTCACACGGACCGGGTGCGACATTTGGCTTTGATATTTCTGATATTCGTCGTGCTGCAGAGAATATGATAGTGAAAGGTTAGCGTCACAGCAGAATTGTGTATTCGAATCGTTTATGGTCACGTTTTAGGAGTACACTCAAAAGAAAAGAGTTATTTTGTTCTAACTCGACCGTAATCGACAGGTTCACAGTACCACTTCTTCCTTCTTGATCAAGCGCCATGGTGTCGGGAAGAAAGAGGGGTCAGGTGTAGACAATGTGAAGTCCCAATGACGGTAAGCTTGAACATAGAAGTATTAGTCATGGCTTTGCTATCCAAAATGAATTGTCGTTTCTAATTTCCTTTGAGGGCGTGACGTGCCTTCAACGTCCTGCCACTTTTTGAGTCAAGCGGCTGTATCTGTTTAGGACGGGGCACTCACATATGCACACCCGCCCTGTGTTCCAGACCAGACATTATTACGGACGTCATTAATGTATTGTGGAAAAGTGACAACCCCGCCTAGAATGTACATAACTGTTAGCGTTAAATGGTTTCCAGTGAAGGGTTTACGACGTGGTGTGTAGCACGCGCGCTCTTTCTCTCTTCACTCTGACTCTTTCTTCATGTCGCTGATCATTATTCGCTGACATTAAAACTTGCAAGCCTTCAGACATCGTAGCTTTATTTCTTTCACTTTTGGGCGTAACGTTATAGGCTATATATTACTATAGCTGATGCGTCCAGATGGGAAATTTTGTACACATTACTGCGGCGGCGTCATCTTCAAACTGATGTGGATCGTACGCCCGTCCTGAGTGCGGAAATTTAAGTTCTTGACTTTTTCGAGAAATTTCCTGAGGACTTGGCACCGAACGTTTTGCAGCCCTGCACGTATACCAGAATTTTGTCCACGTATGGGAATAAAATTCCAAATTAGGGTATTTCCAATAGGAGACATAAAAGAGGAAGTTTGCATGTCTAGGCTTGTCTGCTTATCATTATATCACTCACGAAAGTTTTCCCTTTCTTTTAGGTTTGCTCCAATACTATATGTCAGTGTACTATCATGCATTTTATTACAATCTAAGTGCATTTGTAAAGCTTAAGTTCAACACATATACACCAGCTTGGTGTAATTATCCCACCTCTTCCATTTCCTTCTTTGGAGGGCAGGGTACTGATACCCGAGTCCAGTCTACTCAGTGAGATGCACACAGCAATGAAGTAAGCCTGCGCTGCCACGATCCTGTATACATGTGACACGGTAATATCGATAGAAACATGAGATTGGAAATCTCTACCGGACTAACTCAGAAGACCACGGGTTCAAAAACAGTAGAATTTAGCCAAATAGAGGGAATATTGCCGTATGGTAACATTCCCGCGGCCTGACTCTACTCGCCAACTACTAGTATTTCCCGTTTTCGAAGAATCCTACGATCCGTATCCCGTACATTGTGCGGTGGCGAAGGCCTGGTGGAGGTACTCTCCAAGCAGGGGTTTGGGTTTTCGCTTATTTCTTGGAGAGAAAATTCCTTGAAACGCAATTAATATATACCAAGAAGATGTCCTTATTCAGAATATTTCCAGTTTTAATGCAAAAAATTCGCACTGGTTGCCTTTTCTTGGTAAGTTCGTATGTCTTTTGTGACTCACGATGCACTCTTTCAACTACATTGCTTCGGTAAATGACATCGCCATTGTGTGGCACAAGCTAACTGAGCATGCCCATCCCATAGTGTATAACGTTACGTGTGTTACGTGCAAGGAAGAGAAGCATATCCGTTAGGGCGCCAAACGGTAAACTTATACCCAGATACTGAGAAACTTTATCACAGGTTGAGTAGAATCACCCGATAGTAAACATGTGAGACTGAAATGTAGGCCTATACGCCTACGCTTTGCCCTTAATTGTCTTTGGATTTCATTATACTGTTATTAGTGTTGCTTTTTGTAGTCACACAGGTGACTATATATGAAATATCTGTGCCTTTATATTCATCTCTATATGCGCGGCATTCTACATAATCGGCGTCAGAAAAGTCAAGCAATACGTTATCTGTGCTGAAGATTGGTAAATTTCCAGAAGCTTTAATTTTTGTCACGGTCAATACAGCTCTATACAGCTTGATATAAACGTGACACTGGCTGGTTTTAAAATAGCGCCCTCTAGTGACCATATGTAGTATTGCAGCCAAGTTGACATTCGGCAGTCGGCATTTATCTTTTGCCATTGTACATTTTTGTCAACAAATTCCAGACTTTCTTGTGAAAAAATTCTTTCTCACTATCTTCTCAGTAAATATCGCTATCATATTACACCATCTGCCTGTCATGATCCTTCCAGGTCCATCCCTTGTTGTTACCTGTGATCTTTTCCGGCCCTTATGGTGGAAAATGTACAAGTGAGATAGGCTGATATCATGTATCACTCACTGATCATGTCCATATTCATGCTGTATCACATGATAATTGTCCCTGTCCAAGGTTGCTTTCACAGACAACAGATGCTGGGAGGGCCTAATACCAATACAAACACTTCCAAGTAGACTTTCCAAACAATAGCATAGATTTATGAAAAATGACAACCATACAATTATGATTTTGATAGCCTCTGTCCAAGGTTACCTCAACATCACAAACACCGGAGAGTGACGTCAAATCACCTATACAACCATTTTCAGTGATACGAGTAATGCTCTAGACAAAGAAATGAATTTATCCAAAGAACAGCAAAGGTTTTTCCAGGTAAACACGTGTACTGTCTAGCACGTGCAACATATCAACAAAAGTAGGACGGCAACTAAAAATACATGTAAGACCAGCAATTTGCAAGAAGGTAACTGAACACTCAAGTGTGTTTAAGGTATGAGGGGACACCTGAGATGGTTCTGATTATCCTGCTTCAACCAGAGACTGCTGAGAATCTGTACTATGCATACAGAAAAAAAAACAATGCCTGTCCATACTAGTATTATTACTAGTTGTCTGATAGATAACATGAGATAGTTTGCTTAGCACACATTATTCATAGGTTTGGTAACAGAATACTGCATTAAAAGGCGTATTCTTCATCCTCTTATGGAACATATCTCTACAGTCTACATACCCTATTTCTCATAACCTCCAGAGTCCCAAAATGTAAAGTTATTACACATGGCAAGGGTTACATGTATGTCATTACATACATACATATCCGGGATTTGATTATTCAGTGTGTAGTAACAAGCCCTCAAAGTACAACAACATACTTGCATTACATGCAAACAAAAGCAGCACCATTCAGCTTCTTACACAAATACGCAACAAATAAATAGCCTTTTTCACACAATACATTCCGTATGACATGCTCCTTTTTATTACATTTGAATTACTAGTACAACAACCAGACAATAACGCAACACTTAACCGACAACATACAAGCAAAGA